AGCATTGTCAGTGCCTATAATTTTTGCAGCATCCAGACTTTTGTGATATCATGTGTTGTATACCGAATTGGTTGAAGGCTGGAGACCTCAGCAGGAGGACGAGATGGATTATCTACCAACCATTGCAGGCTGTAGATGTTGGCAAATGTGTTTTATCTGAAGTATTGGCTGCCTGTCATTGAGGATCTTTATGGAACCTATTCTCTGGTTAGCTTTTTCATTGTCCACCATCATTCATGATTGGACGCTGCAGGACTACAGGTCTGAATTGTTGGCTCTGTGATTGCTTTTGTTTGCCTACCACATGCTGCTTCTGCTGTTTGAAATGCAAGCAGTCCTATGTTGTAGCTTCACCAGATTGGCGTCCATTTTTACGTTTGCTTGCTGCAGCTCTTGGCACACTCTCCTGAACAAGAAACTAATGATAGAGTGAGGGATATACTGGGTCAGAAGTCACAAGTTGTGGGAGAGCACAAATCTGCCACTGCTGATGCCCATAGCAACTTATAGATGCCATTTTGAGTTGCTAGTTGTGTAAACTGGAGCTTTTTCTCTGCACGCACTGAATAGTGATCATTTCAACTACTATGGTCATGAATAAATGTTTCTGCAATGGAATGTTGAAGGTGAAGTTCATTAAATTAATTAAGATTTTCTTTCTTTGTTGGTTACCTCATTACTTGCTGCAGGGCCAGTCTGGCAGATAGGCCTCTCAGGACTCAAGACAGTTTGATCAGGAGTGGTATGACTGTGCCAGTCTTGGTAATGGGTATTGAAGCCATCTACCTAGGGCCCTTGTTACACTCACTGCTTCTTCAAAGTGGTGTTCATCATGGAGACATACTGACTGGTCCACTGATAGAGGGTGGTAGGTGATAATAAATGATAGATTTCCTTGTCCAATTTTGGCATGATGCATGAAATCCAATGCTAGCATTAAGCACTGTCTTCATCCTGTGAATGTGTCCAACCCAGCAACATTGCCTCTGCGTGATTTGCACCAACATACTTGGGCAATTTGCTTTTGACAGAACAGCCACATTTGTGATTTTATCCCTCCGTTAAATGTTCAGAGTACATTTAACAGCAAACAGCAAAGAAGAAAGTTGTTGAGCTTCTTTTTCTGACGCCTGTAAGTCACCTGTTTTTCACAGCCATATAAAAAGTGCTGAGAATACCAGCCTCGTAATCAGCACCTTGTTCCTGAGCATCAGCTTGTTCTGTCATGCACATTCCATGAGTCAGCAAAAGTGATGGCTGCTTTCTCCATGAGTGTATCACACTCTACATCTTCTCCAAAGTCACATAATTGTTAAAAATGTCCAGCGGGGTGTTACTTAGTGTGATCAGGGCAGAAATGGCAGCCTGTGACACCCAGGATGACAATTTTCTTGATGCTTGTAGTCAGGGAGAACAGACATAGAACGACAAGCGCACACATCATGGAAGATAAAATTGAGGGAAAGGCATTTCAAAAATGGTCTGAGAATTCATCTTGAATGAGGTATCATGAAGCAGTGTTGAAGAATGAAGGAACGTCCATGATACTTGATGAGGACAGCGTATTTCATTGTTCCTTTTTACTGGACAAGTGCAGAGGACTGCATTACTTGGGGACAGGCATTTAAAATAAGTTATTTTCAACATTTGTTTATTTTAAGATTTTTCCTCTCTTCCAACACATTTATATGTGGAATTATTTAGCGACCAAATGTTCTACTACGCTGTTAGTTGATCCTAGGTATCTACTTCCAACTTCATGGCAGTTCTTCTTTGAATAGCAAAGCCGTGCCAGAGGAAGCAGACTACAATGATTATGCGGAAATTCATGGAGCTATATAACTTGCTTCCTGATCTGTGTCAACATCTAGATTCTCTTCCGTGATCCTGGTAGCTTTGCCTAACCTACAAAATTGATCTTCAGCTGTTGTTCTTGCCTGTATCTAGGGACTGGGAACCATGATTGAAAAGGACAACTTTAGTCCAAATGCAGCATTCTATCTAGTCTTTTTTAGTTTGTGGTGACAATATCGATTACTGTAAAACATGGGAAGCATGACATCTAACAGCCTTTGTTAAACTACTTCAGCTTTCCAATTCCCCAGTATCTTAAGTATTAAATATTTGTTGTCATCTTTAAATGCTTTAATAGATTGGCATTTTGGCTGTCTGATATCTTATACTCCAATGATAGCTACAATTCAAAGCACTTTGTTTGCTTTGAAGCACTTTGGGTCATTCCAAGGTTGCGAAAGGTGTTTTAAAAATGCAAGTCTTCCTTTGCACATTGTTTTATCTTCTCTTTCCAAAATATGATGAATAATCTCTTAACGGGCCTTAATAATCTCTTAATCTCTTAATGTGAAAACCAAGAAATGCTTCCTCAGCCTAGCTTTGATAATCTTCCGGAAAGATTCTGCTTTTACAACACATCAGTATAAAACAGCTTAATATTTTGACACAAAAACAGAAATTCCTGGAAAAGCTTAGCAGGTCTGGCAGCATCTGTGGAAAGAAATCAGAGTTAATGTTTTGGGTCCAGTGACCCTTGCTCAGAACTCAGAACCCTTCTGAGGAAGGGTCACTGGACTTGAACTGTTAACTCTGATTTCTTCCCACAGATGCTGCCAGACCTGCTGAACTTGTCCAGCAATTTCTGTTTTTGTTTTTAATTTCTAGTATCTGCAGTTCTTTCAGTTTTTAATTTAATATTTTGTAAGATCATTTTCTGACATTGAGATAATAGTTTAAATGAGACCTCTGGAAGAAAATGCTTGCCATGCAGAAGAAAACTGATAAAATGACATGTAATCATCTTTTTAATCAATAATCTTGATATCAATATATGTATGACATGTTACAGAGCAATTAATTTGTCAAGGGTATCTAGTAAGTACATAAATCAGTGCTACAATGGATGACTGTATCAAGAATCACTGTGTGGGTTGAAGCAAGCAATTTCACACAAATCACAGCCATACTGCAAGTGAGGAAGAGTCAGCAAACAAGTGTTTCTTCTAATAAATGACAGTCACCTCAGGGTGGACAATTATCTCGTAAAGGTTCTACTGAATTTATTGCTTAAAAGTGCAGCACAAACGTTGGCACCTAATTGTCCTTTTGATCAAGTTAAAATGGGGAAGATGTGGAATTTATACACTCATCTAGCATCCATCGGTTCACAGCTTTTCAGTGAATAAGCAAAATAGATATTCTTTAAAATTTTTATTCAAAATTTGAATGCAGAAGTTAAAGTGGTAGTGATTGAATTAAGTATCATTTGGATAGCCTTACAGTGGAGTTGTATCAGCAATTGCGTTTGGGGATACAAACATTATTACAGCAAGTGACTCGGATTGTGTAATCAAAGTGACAAGCAGTTATTGATTGTTATTATCATATCTAAAATAACTTTTGCTGGAAATCAGAACCCCTGCTTTGAAATGAGCAAAGCTGCAGCTTGTTGAATGTCGCTGTGAAGGGAAGACTGAAAGTCCTAAAGAAGGTACTGATTAAAGTACGTGCTTAAAATAGAAACTGCCACAGTTTAAATCTTAGATTTCTGATTCACTCGTTTTAAATCCATCAGTAATTTTGCTTTTGTCCCGGTTTTCCTCTTTACCTCCCACTTCTTTTGAAAGAATAGACTCAAGTTGGGCACAACTTCATGGTTGCCAACATCCATTGGGTGACAGGGAGGGGGCTGGGCTGACGAGCAGAGGGGTGCGGATGTAGGGGTGGGAATGTGAGGGGTGACTTGATTGAAGTTGTATATGATTCTGAATGTTCTTGACAAGGTGAACGTGGAAAAGCTGTTTTCCCTTTCAGGTGAACAAAGAACAAGGGGCACTGATTTAAAATTATGAGTCACCTTTTTAGGACAGAGACAGCTGGCAATTCCGCAGTCTCGGCAATGCCTCTTTGTCTTGTGGCTGCTTTAGAATTGCACTTGAAGGAAGAGTTCGCAACCATCACCAAAGACGAAGGTTTGGCTGGTGACCTTTGGTGAAAACGAAACAACACACACACGCACACACAAACACCTATTGTTGATAACTTGAAGTTGGGCTGAAGGAAGGAAGGCCACCATCTCCCACAAGGAGGCAGAAAGACAACAGCATAGCTCCCTCCCAGTCACCAGCACCACCAAACCCACTCCGCCCAGCTTACAGCCTTCCCTTGCCAAATTGTGGCCCCCGACGCATTCCAAGTCTGTCCCAACAGGGCATATAAAATCCAGCCACAGGAGTCTGAATGATAGCTCCTGGCACTGAGGCTAATTGCAGTGCTTAGCTACCTCAGGATCAAACCCATGACTTTCCTGATTCTGGTAAACAAGGAAAACTCTCAGGGATTCCCAGAGATCGGCTCAAGGTTTAAAATAGTCCAGTGGAAGCTTGACCTTCAGATTACAAAACAGCCTCTGATCACACGATGCAGGGCCAAGTAAGTAATGAGACAAGAAAACAATAAAACCATTGGAAATAATTTTTGCATGCAGCTCAAGAGAAAAATTTCTCATCAGAGTTAAGTTTTATGCCTGCGATAGAAGAATTGGGTCTACCACGTTCATGGCACCTCAACGTCATCTCACACGTACACATGTATAAACTGTAGTTGCATTGTCTCCCAAAGGCTGAAAAATTGTGTTGACGAAATTAACAGATTAAAACTGAACAGATAGTGAAACCACCAATAAACATGTAAGATCTGATTTCAAAAGAAAGTCAAGTTCACTTTTATTTTTTAAAAACAGGCATATTTTACTGAGACTTAGCCTCTATTTAACCTCAGGCTGTGCCTATATACAGCACTTCTTCCAAGGGAGTATTAAACAAGTGGATGAACAGATTTTTATTCATTGGACTTGGTGGCCTTAAAGATACAGGAACAAATAAACAGAGTTCCAAAACAATTCCTTTATACTTACTACAAAAGATTTATCAAGTTGCGAACATTCCCCATTAATAGAATTAATGGAAATTTTTAATCTTGGGCAGGAAATCAAGGTGGATCAGTGGCGATGGCCCTATTGAAGGATGGCTCGTTCAAGGTGAGAGCTATTACGAGGAACCCAAGAAAAAAAGCAGTTCAAGAATTGAAACGTCTTGGAGCTGAGATTGTAAAAGCTGACCTGGACAATGAAAAGAGCCTGTTGGAAGCACTGAAAGACGTATATGGAGTCTTCTTAGTCACAGATTACTGGGAGTATATGGACAAAGATAGAGAAGTACAGCAGGTATGAAGGAAATTATATACAAAACTGAGCCCCCATGTCATGGTTGCATGCATTTCTTTTTGCCACAAACTAGAAATAAGATAGCTGTTTAAAAAAAAACTATTGTCCTGTATACTGATGACACAGTGGGAGCCAAACACACATGATAAGTACCAATGAGCCTTATTTGTCATGGCCTTTGGTTTTCCTCCTTATCTTACTCCTAAAAAAATTGTCGCCTGCCCTGAGACGGTGCCCATGTGTTTTAGATTCTCCAGGCAGACAAAACAATTTCTAAGTGCCTGCCCTGTCAAGCACCTTCTGAATTTATCAATATGATCACCTCTATTCTTCTAAAGGACAAATTTACTCAGTCTCTCATCACAGGACTGCCTTCTCCTCCCAGGATCCAATCTACCGGACTTCTAAGGCAAGTATATTTTGTTTCACGTGTGGAGAACAAATATTACACAAATTACTGTCACCAACATTGCCTCACAAAAGCTGTACACAATTGTAGCAAGACTTTCTTGTTCTTGTTCTTGTTCTTGTACATCACACCTTACAATGAGTCAACATGCCATTTGCCTTCCTAGTTTGTTGGACCTACATGCTAACCTTCTGCTTCCTTACAAGAGTACACAGAATCTCTCAACAATTAAACATTGCCCCCGTAATAAAATGTATTATGCCTTTCTATTATTATTAAAGCGATTAACCTCACATTTCATCACATTCTGTTCCATCTCTCACCTTGTTGTCCACTCGCTTTAACTATCTATATCTCTTTACAAACCCTTTTGAGTACTCCTCATAGTTTGCACTCCTGCCTAGCTTTGCCTTGTCAGCAAAGCTGGATGCACTACTCTCATGTCTCACCTTCTCACCTTCAAAGTCATTAACGTGGATTGCGAATTGGTGAGACCCTGGCACTGATCCTTACGGCATTTTACCAGTTACAGCTCTCCAGCTTGCAAATGCCCTCTTTATCTCTCCTGTCTGGTTCCAGTCCATTATCCAATGTTCCATACACAACAAGGTATGATCCCACACTCCATCAGGTCTGAATTTGCATAGTAATTTTCTGTAAGGCGTCTCATGCCTTTTGGAGATCCAAATGTACTACATCTGATGGCACCAGGTTTCTCCACCTTATGAGTTATGTCCTCACAAAATTCTAATAAATTTGTCAAATACAGTTTATCTTTTGTAAAACCATGTTGACCATCTGATTATACAATGATTGCTAAAGTGCATTATTAAGACATGTTGAAGAATCGATTCCAGCATTTTCCGGATGAGTGGTGTTAGGCTAATTGGCCTATAACTCCTTCTCTGTTTTCCACTCTCCCTCCATTCTTGAATAGTGGTGTTACACTTGCTAACCCTTACAAACTACTGGGAACATTCTGGAGTCTATAGGATTTTGGAAAATCATAACCAATGCATGCACTAGCTCAACAGCTATTTGTTTTAGAACCCTAGGAAGTAGTCAGTCATATCATGGGGATTTGACAGCTCTTCATCCCACATGTTTTGGTAATACATTTTTCTGCTGATACTAATTACTCTTTGTTTCTGGTATGTAATTTGAATCTTCTACTGAAGACAGACATAAGTGTTCAACAACTCTGCCATCTCACATTCCCCATGTAACTTCCTTTGTGTCTGCCTGTCCTGATTATGTGCTTAAAAGCTTGTACAATCCATTTTTTATATGCCTGACTAGTTCAGTTTCATCTTTCTGTTAATTTTTTGCACACCCTTTGCTAATTTATAAAACATTTGCAATCTTCAGGCTTACTCTTATTCTTTAAACTTTAGAAGCCTCTTCTTTCACTCTAACACAACCTTCAACTGTTCTTGTGACCCACGTATGGATCTATCTCATTCATACAAGATGTGAAGCAGTTTCAGCCCCAGTTGATTCCACAACATATTCTTCTAGGAGCTGTTATGAAAGCATTCTGCAAACTCATCTTCCAGGCTACCTTTGATAATTTGATTTGTCTTGTCTTTTTGAAGCTTGAAGTACCTTATCTTTCCAATTATTTCTTGTTTGATGATTTCTGCAGTGTTTAGTAATGTTACAGGTCCTATCAGCTATTTATCCCTCAATATTATTATATCAATATTATTAATCAATATTATCCCTCCCTGGGATTCCTGGTGCCATCTTTGAAATACAGCTGTGCACCCAGTCAAGAATTGACAGTCAACTGTTGCACTGGACTTATTGGACAGACAGCAATTGTCACTCAACTTTGCCAACGAGACCTGGGTGATCCTGCTGGAAGGTGGGGTATGCCCAGTCGCTGTCCAAGGAAATGCACTGAGTTGCCCGTGACTGACGGAGGTCTGGAGGAGCAAGCATCAGGCAGGTATTTGCTTTGACTTTCATGTTGAGAATTGTCGCCATCTAGTTTCTATCTGGCAGATGTGAGAGCGGGAAACTGCATATCAAGCAGACAAGTTTAAGTAATAATGAGGATGTTAATGCATACAAATAGGCCTCTCACTGTTTGCTAGCAAGAACTTCATTTTGTCATTCAACCCTGTTGGAAAATGGGACCTTTCCTCTTGATGGTGGGAAGTTTCTCTCTGGCTATCTCGTGCAGTTCTCCTAATTTCTCACCAATTTCCTCAGAGTCTGGGAAAGTCTGTCCCATGTCTCTATTGTGATGATTATATCAAATCCATTTAACTCTAACTTTTGCTGCTAGTTTGTTTATCTTATTAACTTTTTAACTACTATTCATTATATGGACCTTATATGCTGATGCACAATTAATGTTAAATTCTCTATCCTTTGCTGTCCTGTTTTGTTTGTCTTACCCAAATTATTACACTGCTCCATTACTTCAATTTTTTCTTCAGTTTTTCTAAATCTTTGCCCCTCCCTTGATGACCAACCGCCCCCCTCTCCAGCTCAAACTACAGCCCTGCGTTTTAAGTTTTTAAGTCCTATCTTTGGTCTTAGTTTTACGATTTGTAGAATACTAGTTCATGTCTGGTTTAAGTTGAGCCCATCCCAGCGACACTGTTGTCCTAATGCTGGTGTCAATGCCCCATGAAACAAAACAACTTCTCCCTGCGCCTCTGTTTGAGCCAGGTATTTAACTCTCTAAATCTGTTTTACTCTTTGGCAATTGGCACATTCTAGAGATTATTCTCTGTGAATTTCTGCATCTCAATTTTACTCTAGCTGTTCAAACTTTCTCAGCAGAACATCATTCCTACTCCTGCCTATTTGTTCTTACGTGGAGCAGGACAACAGGATTCACCTCCTATAGCTCTAAAGTTAACTCCAGCTGCCAGGAGGTAATCCTTGAGCCTTACACCAGGCAGAGAGACAGGTAGGCAGGCAACACAGCCTTTGGAATTCCCAATTGTTGCTGTAGTGATTGGTATACATACCCCTAACGATACTGTCCTCCAATCCTATCATTTTTCCTTTCACTCTCCCTGGTTGAAAGGCAATTTGGTGATAACGGTGGAGTGATCAACTTGCCCATCCACCCTGCAGCACTTATTTTGATCCATGCAGTAGCAAGTACCTTGTGCTTATTGGTCAAAGTCAAGGACTCAGGCTCCTCATTATTACATTGTGAATCTCTTTATCTGTAGATTCATAGTCACACACCCGCTTGTCCCTCACCATTGATCAACTCTAAAATTCTGCTTAAACTAAAAGGTGTGACTTACTTTGTTTGAAGAGGGTTTGATGCCCCATAATGTCTGCAACTTGGCCTCTAGCTCAACAACTCTAAGTTGAAATTGCTCATGCTTCAAAAACGTATAGCAGATATGTCTCTTTGGAATTGCAGTGCTCTCCACAAACTCCCACAGGTTGCTGTTTCAACACACCATCTGCCTAACCATTTCTTTCTAACCTTATTTACTTGATTAGCTCATTATTACTTTGATGGATTAGTAATTAGTAAAGGCAAACAACAACCTGAAATATATTTTCTGACTGATGTTTTCACAGGACCAGTGTACACATTTTTTCTGATATTGGTTTATTGGCATTGTTTACCGCTTTGGCAAGGGTGTTCATTGGTTCCCTATCGTTTGATATCATCTTGGCTTCTGCAACTCACCATTTAAAACACCTTGTTTGACAACTCTTAGTTTTATTTTCCCTGTAGACATCTGAGCACGTAACAACAGGGACTGACCAATTTCAACCTTTGCTGCTAGCAGGGATTGCAAGTGCCGTTTTAAGGAACTGTACCATATTTTCAGGTTCTTGCATCAGAAATCCAGGCCCTTATGCTCCCGCTGCGTGATGCCAATTTCATCAGGTACCCAGTTTCAGCTGCATTTAGGTCAGGGGGCAAACTACAGAAGCTCTCTCACATGCTGAGTGTTTCCAGCATGTTTAGATTTTTAGGACCTGCAGAACTTTGCTAACAGAACAATTGGGGAACTGCCCTTCAGTTCATGATTATATAAGATGTGGCACTGCTGCAGAAGCCCTTGGGGTGGAGCTTTAACCTGAAGACATCACAACATATTCCACTCATTCAAGACTTGCAATATTTCTGGTGACTTCCAGAGTCATGCTTTCAGTGGAAGTATTGTTGGAAGATATGGTAATTTGAATAGCATGCTGTTGTTGTTAGTGTCCAAAATTTTATCTATTTGTATCTATATTCACAGAGTTGCGACTGGTCATAAGTAAATAATTTACTGCAGGTACTCTGCAACACACATTTCTAATGAAGCCATGTGAAAGCAGCCAGGAAGTATTTCTTATTTCCATCTAGAAATTGACAACTCTGAAACAGGGGCTTTGACCTATCATATCTGTGCCAGTGCTTTTTCCCTTCATAAACAGTCTTGTCCATTCTTACTCTCCGGCTTGCTCCCAACACCCTTGCAGTGTTTCTCTTTTATAGAAAACTATCTAATTTATGTCTAAAATAATTTATCTGTTCAGCTTTAACAGAGAATAACAGAGAATTCCGCATTGTAACTTGCTTTGGTGTAAAGAAATTTGTGGAAATGGCTCTTCCCACACTGGCATGGCTGAAATCAGGAGGTTATATAGTGTGCAGCCACTAAAGTGCATTGTACTATTGGGTGACACTGTTTTATAGCTATCAGCATGTCACCTTTACAATACTTCTTTAAGTCAAAGATGATGTGTACCTGGTGGTTGAACATCCTGCCAGCTTGTATTTTTGCAGATTTCTGCCGAGTACAAGGGAAAGTAAAATCAATCTTTGCCAGTTCTGTCTGCTTGGAATCGGGTGCGCTATAAAACACAACAATTGAATTGTCTATATTACAAGAAATATAGATGTAATACATGGAAAATGAGGAACAGAGCCAAGTTTTTAGTTGTAACATTGACTTGAACTCTTCAATTATAGTGGCTTGAGTCCTGCAATTAGTATGATAAGTTGGGGCCATTTTGTGTTAAACAAAATTAAACACAAGATCCAAGACAGCTGTAAAGCAGTTTTCACATCTCAAGAGGGTAATCTTTCCAACTGGAACATACGCAAAATTATCTTGTACAGTATGTACAGATTGCCATCAAGCAAATCAGCCTCAGAGCTCTGTCAGAAATCAGTTTTGTTAATTATTTTTCTTGCTGGAATGGGAATATTAGCTTTTAAAGCGATTATCTTCAACGAGTAGAACTGGATCACAAAGAAAAATGCAGTATATGGGATAGCTTACCTGTTGAAAATTTATTTTGCTCGAAGAAACTACAGTATGTTCTGCATTTCCAAAATTCTCCTGGTTTCTCTGAATAGATATTTGATTTTATTTCTATACTTTTGAAATTACTCCCCATCTCACCTGTATCCTTTTCAGATTGCGAACCCTAATATGTCCCCATTAATGCCTGTTCTCTATTTCTGCCTTGTAAAGACTATATATTTTTGTTTTGTAGTAGTTTTCTTATGGACTGAAATGGGAAAAGGCTTTTCCCATTTCCCAAGCTACACTGGCCCTAAACCCCACCTCTTCCTCCGTTACATTGATGACTGTATCGGCGCCGCCTCTTGCTCCCACGAGGAGCTCGAACAGTTCATCCACTTCACCAACACCTTCCACCCCAACCTTAAGTTCACCTGGACCATCTCTGGTACCTCTCTCTCCTTCCTGGACCTCTCTGTTTCCATCTCTGGTAACCACCTGAAAACCAATATCCATTGCAAGCCCACCAACTCCCACAGCTACCTAGAATACACCTCCTCCCACCCACCTTCCTGCAAAAATGCCATCCCCTATTCCCAATTCCTTCGCCTCCGCCACATCTGCTCCCAGGATGAGGCATTCCACTCCTGAACATCTCAGATGTCCTTGTTTTTCAAGGACTGCAACATCCCCCCTTCAGTGGTCAAGAACGCCGTCGACCATGTCTCCCGCATTTCCCGCAACTCATCCCTCACACCCCCTCCCCGCAATAACAACCAAAACAGAATCCCCCTCGTCCTCACGTACCACCCCACCAACCTCCGGATCCAACGCACCACCTCTGACACTTCCGCCATCTGCAATCCGACCCCACCACCAAAGACATTTTTCCCTCCCCACCCTTATCTGCTTTCATGAGGGACCACTCTCTCCGTGAGTCCCTTGTCCGCTCCACACTCCCCTCCAGCCCCACCACACCCGGCACTTTTCCCTGCAACCGCAAGAAGTGCTACACCTGTCCCTACACCTCCCCCCTCACCCCCATCCCAGGCCCCAAGAAGATTTTCCACATCAAGCAGATGTTCACCTGCACATCTGCTAATGTGTTATACTGCATCCGCTGTACCCGTTGTGGCCTCCTCTACATCGGGGAAACCAAGCGGAGGCTTGGGGACCGCTTTGCGGAACACCTACACTCGGTTCGCACTAAACAACTGCACCTCCCAGTCGCGAACCATTTCAACTCCCCCTCCCATTCCTCAGACGACATGTCCATCCTGGGCCTCCTGCAGTGCCACAACGATGCCACCTGAAGGTTGCAGGAACAGCAACTCATATTCTGCTTGGGAACCCTGCAGTCCAATGGTATCAATGTGGACTTCACAAGCTTCAAAATCTCCCCTCCCCCTACCGCATCCCAAAACCAGCCCAGCTCGTCCCCGCCTCCCTAACCTGTTCTTCCTCCCACCTATCCCCTCCTGCCACCTCAAGCCGCACCCCCATCTCCTACTAACCTCATCCCGCCCCCTTGACCTGTCCGTCCTCCCTGGACTGACGTATCCCCTCCCTAACTCCCCACCTACACTCACCTTTACTGGCTCCATCCCTGCCTCTTTGACCTGTCTGTTTCCTCTCCCCCTATCTTCTCCTCTATCCATCTTCTATCCGCCTCCCCCTCTCTCCCTATTTATTTCAGAACCCCCTTCCCCTCCCCCATTTCTGAAGCAGGGTCTAGGCCCGAAACGTCAGCTTTCCTGCTGCTCTGATGCTGCTTGGCCTGCTGTGTTCATCCAGCTCTACACCTTGTTATCTCAGATTTTCCAGCATCTGCAGTTCCTACTATCTCTGGGAAAAGGCTTGATTTTTTTTTAAAACGACAAGGATTGTGGAAGGCTTGTTGCACTTCCTAAAAGCAAGTTATCGAAACTCATTATAAGTAATGTTTACCCAGCTGCTGTGTTCAACTGGTGGGGAGGTTGGTTGCAAATGGGCTCGAACCAGGGGGTGTACACACAGTGTAATTTGGCTTGCAGCAAGTAACTGGTTTGAAGAGTTGTGATCAGCTACCGATGACAAAGGCCGTCTGCCTACTAACAATCATGTGATTGGCTTCTGTGTAGTTGAACAGCTTATGGGTGTGAATGATATTACCAGAAGCCTGCAGGTCTCTGGAAGGAGAGGTGTTGTGTCTCTCCATGCATTTTAAAAACAAAAAATGCCTGAAGAAAGCTCATATTCTCACCCACCAGCTGCTGTAAACTATTACTTTTAACCAAGAAGTCAGTGAAACAGTCGCTGTATGCCTGCTGCCAGGAACTGAAAAGTACCTGGAGAAGAATTTTGAAGAATATTGCACCCACACAAACATTATCTCAGTGACCCTGGAGGGTCAGGGCATCGAAATGTCTTCCCAGCTTTTCCCTTCACCTGTAACACCAATATTGTTTTATCTGTCTGTGACTGTCTGATTGCAAGGGGGAGTTTTATGAAGGAGTTAGAGTTTTACCTAGTAGAGTCATATGTCAGCAGTTCGTAGTTGTTTACTTTGTAGCTAGCATCCATTTCTTTATAATAAATAGAACTGCTTATTGAGTACAGAAACTTAGTTCATGGTTTCTTTTCGCCTGAGTCTAAACAGTCGGGCAAATTGGGGAATCTTGTGTGATTTGATCAAATCTTTAACTTTTGTGACAGCTTCAGAAATAACGGGGTCTAATTTCCAGCACACTACCAGTTACGGTATGACAACCCTGCATAACATTAACAGCAAGGCAGCCTCTCTTACTACTGCCTGATGCAGACTTCAAATTATTTAACCAAACAGGTAGTCAAACCTACCTGTACAATGTCCTCTTCACCTTTTTTCTCACAACTATACAGGGAACATTTTGACTGTGGCATTGCCCTGGTATCCTTCCTGCAAGTAGTGACACTTTGCAGAATTCTCAGAGCAATGAATGCCATCATCCCTTTCTGGTCATCCATATTCTAAAATAAGCTAATGCCCATAGTGTTCCCTATCTAAGAGGAACATGTTTCACAGCAACAATCACTAAAGATAGGGGCAGATTGAAAGTGATCTTTGAAGCTGATGCCAGGTGGGCAAGGATGATATGATGGTATGAGGCTGAGATCTGACATAGAGACATGAGGAAATCAACTAGGGCTACACAGCGCAAAATGTGCATTTTTTGTTGTTTATTTGGTAAAGATTGGTGGGGACAGAGAACAGGTAGGGAGGAGATTTTGGGTAGGAAGAGGTGAATTGAGAATGTAGGTGTAATAGCATTGGTGTGAGCATAGTCTCTTCGTGTGGAGATTAGGGGTGAGCAGAGTGTTGCAAGTGCCAAGTAATGGATGACTTTCAATGTTCTAGAAATGGCGTCTGTTGACTTTTTTGGAAGAGGGAGTAGTTGCAGTATATACTGGAATTGATGTCAATATGTAACAGTTGTTATAGTATATAATGCAAGTGGTCTTGATACAGAAAATTTGGAATTACATGATGCACTGCAAGTGGTCTCAATGTCATAGAGTCATACAGCACAGAAACAGACCCTTCAGTCCAACTTGTCCATGCCAACCAAATTTCCAAACTGAACCTAGTCCCATTTGCCTACATTTGGCCCACATACCTCTAAACCTTTCCTATTCATGTACCTATCCAAATATCTTTTAAATGTTATAACTGTACCTGCATCTACCACTTCCTATGGCAGTTCATTCCTCATACGAACAACCCTCTATGTGAAAATGTT